CTCGCTCCTTCTCCCAAGCAAAATCTCAACCTCACTAGATACAAGCCATGCTCAAGGAAATCAAAGCTCTCCATAAAAATCAAACATGGTCCTTTGTTCCTCCTCCCCCCTCTACTAATGTTGTAGGCAACCGGTGGTTATACAAAGTCAAAACTAATCCTGATGGCAGCCTTGATCAATGCAAAGCTTGTCTAATGGCTAAAGGGTTCACTCAAACATTTGGTGTTGATTATACCGACACCTTCAGTCCGGTCATTAAACCCGTCACCATTAGGGCGGTCCTATCGGTGACCGTAGCTCATGGCCCTTATTGCAACTCGACGTTAGCAATGCATTCTTAAACGGAGACTTACAGGAGACTATATACAAGGTGCAACCCCAAAGATTCATTGATCCTCAACACCCGAATTATGTACGTAAACTTCACAAGTCACTATACAGGTTGAAATAGGCACCTCGGGCTTGGTTATCCCGTCTCAGTTCTTTCTTATTTTCGCTGCAATTTAGGGCTTTCAAGTGTGATCCATCTTTGTTTATGTATTCCTCACCTACATGTGTGTGCTTCCTTCTTGTCTACGCAGATGATGTGATCATTACAGGAAATAATGTCTCCTTTGTTTGAAGCATCATCAATCGTATTGGAACTGAATTCTCAATCCGTGACCTTGGCCAGTTACGATTCTTTCTTGGTATTGAAGTGATCCATCGCCCCCTTGGCATTGTTCTCTCTCAATAGAAGTACCTATTGGATGTGTTTCACTCTGCTGATATGGCATCCTGTAATCCATGCTCCACTCCTTTGGTCTCTGGCTTGGTTTTATCTCGACAGGATGGCTATTGTCTATCTCCGGATGATGCCACTACTTATCAGCGATTATCTAGCAGCCTTCAATACGCCACCATCACTTGCCCGGATATTTGCTTCGCGGCGAATAAACTCTGTCAATTTATGCACCATCCCACCATTATTCATCTTCAAGCCCTCAAGTTTGTTATCCGCTATTTGCGAGGGACTGTTGATCGGGGGTTAGTTTTACAGTCTTCACCTTCAAAAACAATCACTGCCTTTACAGACGCCGATTGGGCCGGCTGCCCTAATGATCGCAAATCCACAACAGGTTTCTTGATCTATCTTGGTCCAAACTTGATCTCCTGGACTTCCCGCAAGCAACCAATGGTGGCTCGCTCCTCCACCGAGGCAGAATTTTGCTCTATTGCAAATGTGTGTGTTAAATTGCATTGGTTGCATTCTTTACTTGCAGAACTCAGAGCTCCATTGCACCGGCTGCCAATCGTTTGGTGTGACAACAATGGAGCGGGTTTTTTGGCTGCCAATCCTGTTTATCGAGCACACACTGGGCATGTCAAACTCGATTTTTATTTCATTCGGAAACTTGCTCAACAAGGACTTGTCCACGTGCGTTCTATCTCAACTGCCGACTAGCTCGCTAATATTCTAACGAAACTGGTTGCGAAACATCTCTTTCAAAAGTTTTCCGACAAACTTTGGTTGCTCTCTCTACCACCTTCAGCTTGCAGGAAGGTGTCAACGTAGTAGTTATCATGTTGTAGTATTTATCTTCTGTTATGTATTATCTCCATTGTTGATATTAGTGTGCAGCTGTTGTAGTTATCCTTAGAGGTTATCTTCAAGTGAACCTCTTCTATATATGTATTCAAAGCCATCAGATGAAATCAATTGATCAGTTCCTGTTGCATAATCTGAGTCATACCAACCAAAAGGTTCGATATAAATTGGTTTCCTTTCGTTCCAATCAACAGCTGATTTTCTTTGGTTTTAAAAATTTCAAAAATGATGATACTAATTGGTTTTGTTACAGTTTGAACCAAAATTTTGAACCACCTGAATCGATAATCTTTTTGGTTGTATGCAGTCAACCTTGTTTCCCTACATCGATGACGAGAGTTGGCCTAATATGAAAGAAACATATAGTTTGATGGACAATGAAAAAGATAAACTTTGTGCCGTTATATTTGATGATAAAAGAGAATTAATGTTTAATTTACTTTTCATATACATCAAAACGAGATAATTTTATGTGTAGTTTTCAAAGTTGGTGATGTATGGGTTTCAACTCAAATCAATGAAGTATTTTTATTTTTTTTTCCCTTTCTTTCAGGTTAGGTTCAATTGTCAACTATAGTCATATTTCATCCGTTAATACCATAATTTAGGTTTATGCATTCAGTAATAGTAATTATTTAAAGTTACAAATTGGCATTCGTTTTCTGCCGTACCTTACAGGGGCATTCGTCCTTTGGTTGTGATTTTACAAGATGAATATTACTATCACATAACCAAACCATCAAAATATATACAACGTGCATTATTGTAATAACTTTATTCCAAAAATATAATCCACAGTGCATTTTGAGATTTGTATTATTTTAAGTTTAAATTTTAAAATTCAACATGAATTTTATTTTTTCGAGACAAAGGGGGTACTTTATACTTATAAGGCTACGAACAGTCTACACAAATAAAATGCCATAATGTTAAGATACATTTAGAGAAATCCAAGAAAGTACATGGCAGGTATCACTCCAGTTTATTAATTTTAAAAAATAACGTTACAAGGGCAGTGCGTAAAACTTAGCAAAAAGAAGAACTGTCGTACAAAGATTTAATGTTAATAATGCATAAGAGTGAGTAGCAAATGGCAGGTAAACTTGAATAAACTATGCGCAAAAGAAGAAACTAAAAATCAATATTTTAGTTCGCACTCAGTATCTAGGGTTGTGCTTTTTTTTTCTTTGGATTTTAATGAAGCTTAAATTTTGTAAAACTACTTTGTTTTGATACAAAATTATGGAAATCAAATTAAAAAAAATTTAGGTGAACCAAGACGGTACCTGGCGAGCATCCCCCGATTTTATTGATAATAAAAAGAAGTTACAAAAATCAAATATATATTGATGTTTATGTGATAATGTACTTTTAAAGTAAAATAATATAGCTTGGTATCAAGTTTAAAAAGACACTTTTTTTTTCTTTTGCAACTAATTAATGGTTACTTCCCACCCAGAAAACAAAAAATGAGAGAGAGGGAAAGTAAGTCATAATCCTATAAAGCATGGCCAAATATTTCAGGTGCTGACGCTTGTATTAAGTGTTGAACGTGTTCCCTGTTTGGCAAGAAATAAATAGATGAGGACCATTGTACTCCATCAGGTTTTAGGTTTGAGATAAAATTAAGATCAAATATTTCAGGTTCACACCTGCATATATTTCTGGGGATATATATACATATATATATATATTTAGACACGTATTTCTGTTTAAGGCCAGAGATATTAATTATCAGGGCTATTTTTGGCCTCCAGATCAAAACTTACTTTTCTTTCCAAACAAAACCCTTATAAAAAGCTTTCTCTGGGGAAAAAGTAAGGCAGGTAGAGCATGGTCTTTGGTGGCTTGGGAGGAAGTCTGCAAGAGAAAATCAGAAGGGGGCTACATATAAATAGACCAGGGATTTAGAATAAAGCTCTACTGGGTCAGCAGTTATGGAAGATGGCAAAAGGTTAGTTTATGGATACAGTGGGTGCACATTTACTATTTGAAAAAGATGAGCATTTGGGAGTATAAAGCGCCACTGGACAGCAGCTGGCATTGGAAGAAGTTTATAGCTGTCAAAGAAGAGCTAAAAGGAGGGTTCCAAAATGGGCAGTGGACAAGAAACAAAGGTAAAGGTTATACTGCAAAAAGTGGCTATAACTGGTTAATAGATCATCAGGAAAAATGCAGAGAATAAGCTCTGATCTAGAACCAGTTTAGCCTTCCAAAGCATAACTTCATACTATGGTTGGCTTTGAAAAACAGGTTGCTAACCCAGGAGAGATTAGAGAAAAATGAAAATTCTTACTGAAGCTTGAAAGTGTGTGTTATGTTTGGGGACAGAAGAGTGAAGCTGTAAAGTGTGTGTTATGTTTGGGGACAGAAGAGTGCAGGGACCATCAAGTCTTTACTTGTGATTATGCACAGTAACTAATTAAGTTGCTAAGTGATTGGCTGGGTCTAAAAACACAGGCTTTGGATGCTGAAAAACACAGGCTGATGACGACATGGAAAGACAGAAAAAGCAAGAGGAAGCTATTGTATGCCATAGTAAATGCAGCAGTGTACCATCTCTGGTCAGAAAGGAATAACATAAAATTCATACAGATTCATCTTGCAGCAGTTGAGAGATTTCAAATGATCAAAAATGAAATTAGATGTAGAACGCAAATATATTACAGAAAAGGTAGAAACGACGATATACGGTTTTTTGAAAGAGTTGGCATATTGTAAAGGAATGTAATAGCGACAGGGAAATGTATCTTGATGTTTCAAACAATTAAATTTACCATTTCACAAAAAAAAAAACCCTTATAAATTCAAATCTCTAATTTTCTTTCTCTCTTGTCTCTCTCTCTCTCTCGTTAATCTCTGTTAACCTTTCTACTTATAGTCAGCCTAAATCCTTTCCGTGATCCCTCCCAAAATTTTCAGCAATCTCCTCCAAAAATTTTCAGCAAAAATTCCATTGTAGACCAGAATAGGATAATAAAGTGGAGTTAAATTCCATTGTAGAGATCGCGTCGAACTTACTCCATTGTAAACCAGAAGAGGATATGAAAGTGGAGTAAAATGGTAAACGAATGTTTTTTCTGCAGTAAGGGGAAATAAAGATAAATCAACCAACGATGCGCACCAGAATCTCCAATACATTCCAACTTATTTGTACTTGAAATCATCTCAAATTAAATAAAATTAGTTTTTGCTTTCGAATAATTGGTTGTTTGTAGCAGGAGACATATATTCATCTCTCGCATCATACAACCAAACGCAAGTTCTTTGAGTCATTAACTTCTGTAGTAGTTTCCCACTAAAAATAATACAACTTTCAAAATTCTATATGTACTAAAAAGGACAATTATTTACGTAAACATCGATAATTTATTCATAAGATGACTTCCAACTTCACTTTTTTGTTAAACAAGAGCAGAATTTTTTACTGAGAATATTCCAAACATGCGTGCACACTTAGAGGAAGCTATAAAGGAAGAATAAGAACCAGCAGATACAGAATGTTAATTCTTCAATAACTTGATAATTTTTCACATTACATTGGCAATTATTAAGCTGGCTTTTATTTAAATTTATACATAGACTGCAAGAGCAATATAAGCAGGCTCTTTTTTAGGACGATTAGAAAGGACACAACCAGCAGCTAGCGCCAATTAACATTAACTCAAACTTGCCACTTTTGTTTTTTCATTTAAATGTTACCATATCGAAACTTGAGATCACATCTTCGGACGCTATACTTAGTGGATGGATCAGATGATACCGTTTGAAAGGTGACGTATCCGGTTGCGCCCCGGAACTTACGGGTTCCACCAGTTATTGCATATTCTCTAACCTCCGAAAGCCGCGAGTCATCCCCTTCTATTTCCAAGGTACTACCGTTGAAGACATTGTTGTTGAAAACAAATGAAGCCGAAAGAAAGTAGTTTAGTCCATCTTTTGATGAGACTACGTAGATTCCTTGGGCGCGACCAATTTCAGTTGAATTTCTTTCGACGCCTATTGTTAGGGGATCATCACTGACGATAATTGTCCCGAAACTGAAGGTGCTGGGGTCTCCAGTGACGACAATGCTCGTCGCGTTTGGTGCCCCCGGTGCAACATCTTGGATGTACACTGTCAGCTTTTTTACTTTAGATGGGCAAGAGGCTGTTATGGTGGTAAAGGCAAACATTGCCAAAATACAAGTTGCACATAGTGGAAAATTTGTTGCCATTAGCTTATTTGATGTGGTAAAAGAGAAGTGTTATTGCGCACTTCCAATAGAGATAGGCAAACTCCCTATTTATAGTGTTAATGAATAAGTGACGAAATAGGATTAATTAAGAGAAATTTTTATAGGATATGGTGTCGTGAATCAATCGTACTTCATCAGTAAAGTTTAAGTTAATTTTATGAATTGAGTCAAAAAAAAAAAAAAAAAGTTAAAGGTTGGCAGCGTAGTTAACAATAATATAGAACAGTAGAATCAGATTGCCTATATATAATCTTTCTTTTTTCGTAGTTTTCTTTTCAAAGAAATATAAAAATTGATTAACCAAAGGGGTTGTGGTGGAGTGGTAAGGACTCCTCCACACCCTTAACCATAGGTCGAGGGTTCGAAGTTCGCCATGGGCATGGAGCAACCTTAAATCCTTTGACCAGCTCTCCCACTCATCGAGGTGCCTACCATGAGCGAGGGGGATTAGTTACTGTTAACGACGGTGGACACCCTTCAATATGCAAAAAAAAAAATAATAAATAAATAATTATTGATCTCAATTAAATTCTAAACTCATGAATTCATTGTAATAGAACTTCCTCTTTGGCACTTCAACCCGCATATTTGATTGTGATAATTATCGTTATTCCCATATTAATGATAGGTTAGGCACATTCTCTACAAAATACAAACCTATGTTTTAAGTACTGGACCAAATGGCGGATCTCGATTAATACAATGGACAAGAACCGACAAAAAAGTCAATATTGAGGTTTATAGACAGATTCACAAGTAGTTTGGCTTTTGTTTTAGATTTAGATAATTTTGGGAAAAAAAGAACAAATATTATCTATCTGAAAAATGCATAATGTTGGCAAAAATATGTATTGACATGCATATGTTAAATTTACAATCAAGTGTACCCCAATATTTGAATTTTCCTTTTATGTAATTTGAGTTTTTGTTGTTAATTATCAGCACCTGATGATGTCTAAAGTGTATCCATCTGGGTTCGAATAAGGTAGATCTCCAACAAGTATGTTCATTATTACTTCATGTCTATGCCAAAACTTACTGACCACGCGTCAGTAATTAATGCCAACTTTGAACAATGACAAGAATTTAATCCAATTGAAGTGAAAGTCAAATAAGGCAAAGTAAAATGGTCCGCATAAATCCAATATCCAAATCAAAGTAGTTTTATCATCATTGCCTTTTTTCATATTTTTAGTAGAATATTTTATCTTGTTAGGCAGGAATTTATTTAGATGAGGAAAAATGCTGGGGATAAACTCGAAATGCGCCATCTAGATGTACATAAAAATATTAATGGGCTTGGCAAAAGAAAAATAGTAGACAAAAATTTCAGTTCATAATTTTGATTTCTTGCACTTCTTTTGTTCTACAATATTAGTGCATTTTTAGAAATTAAATATTCAAATTAAACTTAAAATAAAAATTATTACGTACGTAAATATATCGCAAAATTGATAAAAAGATATTTTAGTAAATATCTCATGTTAGTTTATTAATTTAAAAGATTAATTCATTCAATTTATGGATATTCCGTTTCCAAATTGAACTATTTTTTAAATAATATATACGGAGGAGAATTTCCTTGTCCACTGTCTCTCCCATAATTTATTGTGCTTGTATACACCCAAAAATAATCCACAAATTCAATTACTAAAGTCCGTGTTGGGTGCAAACCCAATCCCACATCGGTGGTGGGAGAGCTCCAAACTCAATATATAAGCTTAGTGGGTTACTCCCTCTATTACCAATTGGGTTTAGAGTGAAACCTCATTTGGGCCTTGTGTATTGGGCTTGTGGAGTGTTGAGCTAGGAGGAAGGATTCCTACAACTGGTATCAGAGCCACAGTTCTAGCCTAGTGGCTGTGCGGATAGCATGGCATGTTCTCCCAGTTTGACCTTGCAATGACTCGTGGGCTCGAGGAGTGGAGCCGGTGCCTAGTTGTGGGCCTTGTGTCGAAAGTCTTCCTAACGATGGTGGGCCAGGCGGCGTGTTCCGCGAGTGATAGCGGCGATACAAGTGGGATTGTCTTTGAAGGGGAAGGTCAAGTGTGTGGTTTTGTGTTTGTGGGGAGGTTTATTGGGTTCAAACCCAATCCCATGTCGGTGGTGGGATAGCTCCAAGCTCAATATATAAGCTTAGTGGGTTACTCCTTTTATTACTAATTGGTTTTATATTGGAACCCGATTTGGGTCTTGTGTATTGGGCTTGTGGAGTGTTAGGCTAGGAGGAAGGATCCCTACAACTGGTATCAGAGCAGTTTTACTACCAGCTAGCTAGCTAAAATTGGAAGCAGCTAGCTAACTACAACGGGTACCAGCAAGCTAAAATTGAAAGTAGCTAGCTAACTAACAGACAGAATGGTTATAGCAGCAGACCAGCTAGCTCTATCCAACACTCCGACGAGATATTTCACAAACAGAATGGTTATAGCACAACAAGCTAGCTATATCCCAAAAACCAGCTAGCTCAATCACAAACAGAACGGTTACAGCAGCAACAAGCTAGCTCTAAATTACAGCGGAAGAACCAAACACCTCCCCGATTTGCAAGGACACCCCAGGAGAATAAAATACCAAAACCAAATGGAAGTATTGCAGCAACGAAACAACAATCAAAGCAAAACCACCAAGAACACAAGGATTTACGTGGAAAACTCCTTCGATGTGAAGGAGCAAAAACTATGAGACCAAAAGGCCTATCAAATCCACTATCACCAAATGAAAGTCAAGTACAAAGGCTTCCAGCAATACAACAAAGACATCTAGTCCTTAACCAAGCTAAACCAAGCTACAAAAGGCACTAGAATATCAATACATGATCAAAAGATTAACTAAACTGCAGCAATGTTCAGAAATCTATAACTCCCATCCTGGACAACAAAAACAAAAACCCTTCTGCAGAGATGAAGAGTGACGAGCCTTCTAACTTCAGTAAAAATTTCAGAGCAATCGGACTCCATTTGCCCCTCCAATCGACAAGAAATCAGAACCAGCTACAGTAAACCCTTTGCTGAAATTTTCCCCTTTCTTGCTGCTCGTAATTGCAGTCAAAATTTCTCTCTCTCACTCTCTTTTAGCTGCTGACTTGCCCCCTTTAAGTTTTCAAAAGTGGGCCAAAAATTATTTTCTCCATTGGGTCTTTCTCCACATATGTTGGGAGCCCAATAATCCGAAAAAATCTCCCCCCTCCCGACTATGTGGAGGAAATTGCCATCCCGGTAATACCACAACAAACTTTAAATTTCCATCTAGGCAAGACTTTAGTCATCATGTCCGCACCATTATCATCAGTGTGAACTTTCTCAAGTTCAACCAGCTTCTCATCCAACACATCATGTATCCAATGAAAAGTAGGATGCTTACCGTAATGTATTGCACTTTGACTATCACAAAGCAAAACATACATTTGCTGTGAGCAACCAAGTTCTTTCAAGAACCTCCTCAGATACAACAATTCATTGCAAGCTTCTGTAGCTGCAATAAATTCAGCTTCCGTTGTTGATAGAGCAACACATTTTTACAACCTAGATTTCCAAGAAATAGCTCCCCCTGCAAAAGTAGTCAAATAACCTGAAGTGGATCTTTTAGTATCAACATCACCAGTCATATTGGAATCAGTGTACCCTGTGAGGACTCATTCACCACCTCGAAAGCAAAGTTTCAAACTTGAGGTGCCACGAAGATATCTCAAAATCCACTTGACTGCATTCCAATGCTCTCTTCAAGGCTTGGAAATAAACCTGCTCATGACACCAACTGCATGAGCAATATCAGGCCTTGTACACACCATTGCATACATCAAACTACCAACAGCAGAAGAATAAGGAACATTTTTCATTGCTTCCTTTTCTTCATCAGTAGAGGGACTCTAATCAACTGTTAACTTCATGTGTTCTGCTAAAGAAGTACACACATGTTTAGCCTTGTCCATTCTAAACTTCTCAAATACCTTTTCAATGTACTTCTCCTGTGATAGCCACAACTTCCTTGCTTCTCTATCTCTTGAAATGCTTATACCAAGAATCTTCTTTGCTGGCCCCAATTCATATCCAAGGATTTACTCAACCCCAGCTTCAACCTTTCAATCCTGGAAGCACTCTGACCAACAATAAGCATATCATCAACATAAAGCAACAAAATGATAAAATTATTTGGGGAGAATTTTTGCACAAAAACACAATGGTCACAAGTAGTTTTCTTGTAGCCCTGTTGCCTCATTACAGACTCAAATTTCTTGTACCACTTTCTTGGAGCTTGTTTCAGGCCATATAAGCCCTTCCTCAACTTGCACACATAATCCTCTTTTCCTTTCACCTTGAACCCTTCAGGTTATTCCATGTAAATTTCTTCATTTAGGTCACTATGAAGAAATGCAGTCTTCACATCCATTTGCTCAACTTCTAGATCAAGACTTGCAGTCAGCCTTAACACAGTCCGGATTGAAGACATTCTCACAACAGGTGAAAAGATCTCATCAAAGTCAATGCCCTTCTTCTAACTGAACCCCTTCACAACCAATCTGACCTTGTACCTTAGTTTCGAAGAACTTTCTTCTTGTTTTAGTCTGTAGACCCACCTGTTGTTCAAGGATCTCTTACTGATAATGTTAATATTATCATGATATTTGTGGTGGTTTATGTGTTGTTTTGAATATTATCTATGCTAATATTAGTGCTTTGGTTCTTAATTTGATCATAGGAAGGATTTGGAATAAAAAGAAGAAAAGTGTTGATTTTGAAGAGATTTTGAAGGTTTTATTGAATCAAGTTTCAAGTTGGAGAAGAAGTGGTTGATTCCCGCGTGGGCACACAAAATCCATGCCAAAATCAATGAAGGAAGCAGGAAATTCCAGCAATGACATTGTATTTCCGCGTGGGCACGCTGTAATAGGGACTAAAGTGCAAAATTTCTAAACTTAGGGTTAATTTATAATTTTGGCAAACTTCAAGGACCAATTTGCAAATTCTGAAAAATATAATTGTTTTTTGCGATTTCTGGACGGGCTGATCGTG